TTATAGTTTCAGGTCTTAGGTTTAAGTCCGTAATCCATCTCGAGTTGAAGAGTGGTACAGACAATTTGAGGAAGTGAATCTGGTGGTGTGCCATTCACAATATTGAAGTACCACAATACGGTTTCAGCCCAGCCATCTGAAAATGTTGGTTTTACCTGGGGTGTTATGTTGTGATGATAAACCTTAACCAAGTTTGTATTACTGAAATTGGTCTTTGTGAACATAACTCTTAAATTATCGACTAGAATGAAAAGAGAGAGGCTTCGTTAAAGGTAGTGTACCTTAGCTGCAGAGATAAAGCAAGAGTGAATCCTCTGCATAGGTTTGGCTCCTTTCTACCGAAGTTAGGTATTTGTTATTAAAAACATTTTGTCTTCATCGCGTACCTATCATGCTTTGTCAGTGTTGCTTCGGTGGCCTGACCCTGCAATCTGAAACATAAGTCACCAGAATTGCTTTGAAATTTGATCACCTCAGCATCCTAGGTACTGCTGTTAAACTTGGAGTTCCCCCAACACCCAGCAAGTCTTACATTCCAACTGCCTGGACTCTAGAACCATGTTTAATAGGATCTTTGTTCCAAGAAGACTCTGAAGTTTCATTAAGGATATAATGACCTACAACAGTAATGCTTTAATAAAATCATGGTATGTTACGTACCATGATGTTAGCAGTTAAGTCAAACTGATAAAGTTGGAGGGAACAATTGGTTTTTGGCTGTTCATTTGTGGTTTACTTTTTTTTTAAAACTTTTTCTATTTAATGTTTATGGATACATAATAGTTGCACATGTTTATGGGGTACTTGTAATACATTGATACTAAAACAGAAGAGTTCCCTTTTCCTCCTTGCAGGACAGGCGACAGGGGTGTGGCTCGCTCCTCTGTCACCCCTCTGCTCAAACCCCTAGGGGGAGCTTGCAGACAGGCAGGTACAGAGACTGTGGGGAGCACTCTCGGGCTCCGGCCCCACGGCCGCCTCTAGGAGTGGGTGTCTGCGACTCCCAGAACTCCCAAAGCCCAAGTGGGCGTGTGTTATAGTGCACTCCTTCAGCTTCGCCATCTGTGGACGACTTGTGTTAACGAGCTCGATAAACCCTCTGCCTTATTCCAAGGGCGGAGGACCAGTGTGACAACTTTCTGTATCCCAAGCTCTCTCACGGTGTACTGGAAAAATTGGGTCACCCCCATGGCCTCGAAGATGAGTACGAGGTTTTATTGAGTGATGGAGGTGGCTCTCAGCAAGATGGATGGGGGACTGGAAGAGCAGGATGGAGTGGGAAGATGGTCTTCCCCAGGAGTCAGGCTGCCCAGTGGCCAGACCCTTCTCTGGCTGCCCCCAGCTGAATTCCCCTTAGCATCCAGACATCCCTCCTCTCTTCCTTTGCTGCGTCATTCATCTTTCCGCCGTCACTGGTCTGCCAGTCTGCTGGTGTCTGCTGGTCTGTTCCTCTACTTCTCTTGACCACGTTCAGCCACTGTGTGTGCCCATTAAGATCTCAGGTTTCTGTGGGCACAGGATCAGGGGCATGGCAGGCCAGAGTAGTCTTGGAAAATGTCACATTTGGACATGAAAACAGGAGTGTCTGTTCTCACTTAGGTCTGTGGGCACAGGTCTGAGGGTGCAGTCCTCTCCAGGGACCCTGCCTTCTCTACTCAGCACCTCCCTGCCCCCTCCCATATCAGTACAGGCATATAATGTGTAATGTTCAAAGCAGAGAAACTGAATACCCTTACCTTAAATGTTCATCATTTCTTTGTGTAAGGAACATCACACTCTTCTAGTTATTTTGAAATATACAATAAATTGTTGTTAACTATCGTCACCCTATGGTCCTACTAAACATTAGGTGTTATTCCTTTTATCTAACTGTATTTTTGAACCTACTAACCAACTCCTCTTTATTCCTCCCATCCCCCTCCACTACACTTCTCAGCCTCTGGTAACCATCATTCCACCATCCTGAAATCCATTTTTTCACTTCCATATGTGAGTGAGAATGTACACTATTTTTATTTTGTCATCACAACTCTTTAAGACACTATAGATTTTATTTGTTTGTCTGGGACAGTGTGTCATGTTTATTAAATGGCAGACAAGTACATCTATAGGATATCAAGGTCCCAAATGATGTTTTAAATGTCGAAAGACAATACCATAGGTTATGTGATTTTCAAGTTTCTTCTAACTTTGTGATTTATTCCAGCCTTGAGGACTGGAGTTGGGGATTGAGCAGGTTCCAAAATGAGGCTGAAAAACAGAGATGGCATGAGCCGAGTCACAGACTGAATTAGAGAGACACATGATTTGGCAGTGAGCTGTCACCAGCATCCTATATTTGAAGGCTTTACACTTTAAAAAGTTGAAAGCCCATCCCTTTAACAATATCTTCGTCAGTATTTATTCTGCAAAATGCTCCCCCAAAGAATATTCTGAAATTACTCTGAATGGTAGTCTGAATCATGGTCATCTTAAGTCATCTTTGGCCTTTTGTGATCACAGTTTCCTGATTCTTGCTAATGTTATTGTCCATAAAGCTTTCCTGGTCCTCTGTCACTGGTTTTCACAGGAGCAAATGAGTACATATTCTATGTGCCCAGAAAGCATTTATTGAAAGACGAGTAGCAAGCACTGTACCAGATAATGATAAGGAACATAGTAAAAAAATTTAACATTTTAAAACACAATTTACCTTGTATTATCTTGAGTAGTCTTAGAAACAGCCCTGTGAATGAGGACCTAACTCCCTAAGGTCACAGTAGTCACATGGCAGAGCCCTGAACGCAGATGGAGACCTGTGCCATTGTCTCCTCGAGCCCTTAAAGTGAGAAAGGAAATGTGAAGTGCCTTCATGCCTTTACTTTGGGTGCCAGGCCCTGAGCCGAACACATTACCTGTAACCACTGCATTTGGCCCCCAGGACAAGTCGACGATTCCATGTTGTTATCCTCATGTGCCCACTGAGGACTCAGGGGTCCTGCCTGCTCAGATCTGCCTGCAAAATCCACACTGGATCTGCTTGTCTACCTAGGAATCCCAAACTCTACTGGACCATTGTGGCTATCTCCCAGATCACCCAACCACAGGAGCAGCTTCTGCTTTCACATTCATTCATTCATTCATTCAGTATGAAGGAATCTGCTTTCACACTCATTCATTCATTCCTTAGGTATGCGTGCTCAGCCTCCTGAAGCAGGAGATCTCTATGCCCCATCAGTCCAGGAGGTCTCTGTGAGCCACCCAAGGGCTGCCCCACCTCTCTCCCTAGCTCCGGTTCTGACCTATCATATTGCCACCCAGACATCGAGCTGGTGTGCACAGGCTGTGGTTTTAAGGAAGTTTATTTTTATCCTGGCATTCTATCAAGTTGTCGTTCCTGCAAGCAAATAGAACTGTCCAGTTGTCTGTTTGGAGAATTACATTCAGGGCCCTTGAATTCATGGATTCCTTGGTTTCTGCATACACTTTTTATCTCTAAACACCATTCTGGCCAAGAACAGAGGCCCCTGACACCATATACTAATGAACATAATTAAAGCCTGTCTGAAGGAGAGCAAACCAGGGTGCTCAGCAGCAGTCTTCATGGGAGCAGCCACAGGTGCATCACTGTCTGTTCCCTGCTGACAAAGACCTCAGCCAGGCAAAGCCCTGACCATCAACACAACACACTTTCCACAAGGGAGAGGATCCCAGGGGATGCAAAAGATCATGACATTTAATTGCACAGTGATTGTAACCATATGAGATTTTAAACCATAGCGTAATATGAAAGCAATTGATATCTGAGTTAAAACACTGAACGTTTACTTGTTAATATTTCAAGCTCCAAAATCTGGTTTATTAGTGAAGGAGATACAGCCAGGGAAAATATGAAGCTGTGTCTTTAATAAGTACCTTAACTTCTAAGTATATAATGAAATACATGCAGGAGATTTAAGAACTAGTATTAAAACCCTTCATGAGATGACTCACACAATGCAGAAAACCTTCTTTTCACATGGTTGAAATATGGAGTGAGATCACCATGCAGCAAAGTGCCATCTTCCCAGCTGCACTATGTTGATGTGCTTCACTGCCTGCATTTTCCTCATAACATGAATCACCCAGTAGATGCAGCCATGTAATTTATTGGGGAATAATGCAGCGCTTGTTTAAATATTCTGAACAGTTGTGCAGACAATTTAAGAAATGTTTTCAACATGTCCAGTTGAGTCTACCACCAGCATTCCAGAAGGTTCCATCATTTCACAAGTCCTACTGTTTGCCCTTCATTGAGACATTCCTCTGAACTCAGTAAAAACAATTCCTTGCACTTGGAGAGTCTTTTATAGTTTATAAATCTTTATCACTGGGGCATCTCTTTCTGTATGCGCTAATTGGTGATTTACGGCAAATTCCTTCTTTACCCTATGAAAACCAAGAAGCAAAGAGGGTCATATTCACAATGGAACCTCTTGCCTGGCAAGATGCCTCACATATTTTAAGCTTTAATCACAGATTTGGGGATGGTGGATGCATCGTTAAATGGTTGGATGGATGGATGGATGAATGGATTAATGGATGGACAGATGGATGGACAAGCCAACAAGCATCCTAAACATTCTTAATTTAAAAATAAGAATTCAGACTTGGAGAGATTCATGGAAGGTGGAGTTGAGAAGGATACATTATGAAATATTAAGTTTAGGTTTTTTAACTTTTCATAGTTTTCTGCAGTATCTGAATTAAGCATATTTTACATTTTAATTTAGAAAATATAATTTTGTTAAATAGATAATATATAAATAAAACAAAGTATAAGAGATGGAATTAATTTGAACCAAGTCTAGAACATGCGTCTCCTTACTCCTCACTCTATTATGTGCTATCATATTGCTAAGTAGGCATTTGCTTGTAAATTATATCTGTTGTTTTCACCTTAAATCTCTCAGTGATATTTTTATTATAGATGAATGGACAATATGATGTAATCCTAATGACCTTTTAAAAAATTTCTTTAGGACATCTGTAAAGCCCTGTGGTGCCATCGTATTGGAAGGAAATGTGAGACTAAATTTATGCCAGCAGCAGAAGGCACTATTTGTGGGCATGACATGGTAAGAAGCTAACTGTAGGTACAGCATCGTATTCAGATGCTAGTCTTTCAACCCATGCATCTTTACTCCTCTTGCATAGGTATTTTTAAAACATGTGTTTCTCATATACATATGTATACCCATGCTCCTATCAAACACTGTGTTTATTTTATATTGATAATGTGAAGAGGAATCTTTTTCTCACTTTTGTGAAAATAAAATTGATGAGCTACCTGGAATTCATAGACACGGAAATCAGACAATAGGTGATGACAGATTCAGTCTATTGAGGGGAAACATTAAGCCATTGACGACCATTTATCATGGAAAGGAACAGCATTAAACAGTGCTGTGAAAGTCACAGAACATCAGTTTGAAGATCCTGGAGCACATCATTTTCACCTATTGTTGCCCCTGTGAGAAGAGAGAGAGCTATAGTAGAGAGAAGAAGAAGTATACAAGATGTTGCAGCAATGTGGACACAGTTGGAGGCCATTCATTACCCTAGGCAAACTAATGCAGGAACAGTAAACCAAATACCGCATGTTGCTACTTACAAGCCAGAGCTAAACACTGAGTACACGTGGACACAAAGATGGGAACCATAGGCCCCGGGGGCTACTTGATGGGGGATGGTGGGAGGGGGCAAGAGTTGAAAAACTATCCCATATTATGCTCGTTGCACGGGTGATGAAGTTATTCGAGCGCCAAACTTTAGTGACATGTGATCTCCCCATGTAACAAATCTGCACATGTACCCCTGAACCTAACATAAAAGTCGGAAAAAAAAGAAATATACAGGATAACAAGTTTATTACTAAATGGTAAAGAATGACAATTTCATTACTAAAACTTTAAAAAATTATCATAATACTCCATAATAATATTTTAATTCTTTTGATTTAACTTGTAATTGCATTTTTTAAATGTAAAAGACTATTGATGAAGATAGAAAGATCCTGGACCCAAATTATCACTATAAGTATTTTTGCTTTTTATGTATCTGAGTTTTTTAGTGGCATCAGTGAATATGAAATGATATTTAGGCATTGATCTAGTACAGTATTTGAACATGCCTAAATACCATTGTTCTATTATGTTTAAATACCAAAGAAACTACATCACATCTTATACATATTCAAATGTGACTACAGACAGAAAGGTTTTAAAATGTTGACAACAATGCTAACACATGTTTTCAGGTTAAATTATTGCAGTGCCAACTGAAGAAATGAACAGAAATAAGATAAACTTATTGAGAATAGCCCCTAGCCTCCATTCATTCTGGGCACATTGCTAATGTGCTTTTTTTTCAGTTCCTCAAAGGGCATGAGATTGATCCTTGAATTCTTCTAATTCATTGAATTCTGCTAGTGATCCAGTGATACAGTTGATTTAATCCATAATACGTAATGTAATACCAATGCTTTCAGTGTCTTGAAAGAAAATGAGTATAATGAGATATGGCGTGGAAATTCTAATTGTCAAAGGACATCAGGTAATTTACTTGAATGTTATGCTGCAGATAATCATGACTTTTCTTCTGTCATTGATTAAAATGGATTCTTCAGGTGGTCATTTGCAAAATTATGCCTATTTCTTAAAAGACCAACAGCCTTTTTGACGTTGCCCTTGAGCTATTGCCTGCATGAAACAGGAGGTGGTTCTCCAGGCATCCTGCTTTCTTTGTGGTCAGGTGCTACTTTTTCCTAGGTAATGTAGTTGTGATGCTCTTTCAAAATAACCTGTATGTTCTGGTTACATTTTATTTATCTCAAAAACACTATTAAATTAATTTCCATTGATATTTGACATTATTTTCCCTTGTATTTCAAATATAGCTTTTTCCTTTGTACTGAAAAAAAAAAAAAAAAAGGCTATATTGACATAGAGTAGGTTCCTACAAATTACACAGCTGAACCATGGTCCAAAGCAATAAAGTGTTCTGTCCAGGGTACTTGGTTGTTCAGTGGCCAATGTGGGACTCTGCAAGTCAAAGCAAATAACTGAGGCAAATCTCAATGAATGTAGAGGTTTACTTTTCCAAAGTTGAGGATGTGCTCTAGGAGGGGGTGGGACAAAAATCACAGGGGCACCTGTGACCCCTGCTCTTTCCAAAGAGGACTTTGATGACTTCAATATTTAAAGAGGAAAGAGGCCAGGCCTGGTGGCTCACACCTGTAATCCCAGCACTTTGGGAAGCTGAGACGGGCGGATCATGAGGTAAAGAGATCAAGACCATCCTGGCCAACATGGTGAAACACTGTCTCTACTAAAAGTACAAAAAATAGCTGGGCCCGGTGGCAGGTGCCTGTAGTCCCAGTTACTCGGGAGGCTGAGGCAGGAGAATCGCTTGAACCCAGAGATGGAGTTTGCAGTGAGCCAAGATCGTGCCACTGCAATCCAGCTTGGGCAACAGAAGGAGAGTTGGTCTCAAAACAAAAACAAAAACAAAAACAAAGGAAAGAGAAGCAAGGAAAGCAGGAAAGAAGAAAAGAGGGGAGAGTAGGCAAATGAGGCCAGCAGGTACATTCTTTTGAAGCTTCAGTCAACACTCACTGAATCCACATTTTACATGTGAGTGGAGATTGAGGATTTGTGAGGATAAAGAAAACAGAGTCAAGGAAGCAGGCAAATATGCATTTGTCTGGGGTGGGTGGAGAGGTGAGTTTTAGTCTTGTCTTTGTCCTGTATCTGTGAAGATAATTAATTCACATGGTCATGGTGAAATTAATTCATTAATTCATATGGTGATGGTGAAATTCAACAGAGCTCTGTTTTGGGGTAAAGATTTGGAGGCCCACAAAGAATTTCCTTGTGAGTAATTTGTGAGGGAGGCCGGCCGTGGAGACACGTGGCCTTCCATCTTCACAGCTCTCTAGAAACAAAATGGGAGGTGGTTTTTGCACGACCCAGCTCTCAAGCTTAACTTTTCCTTTTGGTATAGTGAGTGTGAAGTTCCGAGATTTTATTTTCCTTTCATACATTGTATTTTCTCAGGCTGCTAACAAAGACATACTTGAGGCTGGATAATTTATAAAGGAAAGAGGTTTATGGACTCACAGTTCTACATGACTGGGGAGGCCTCACAATCATGGTAGAAGGCAAAAGAGAAGCAAAGTTATATCTTACATGGCGGCAGGCGGGAGGGAGCTTGTGTAGGAGAACTCTCATGTATAAAACTATCAGATCTCATGAGACTTATTCGCTATCATGAGAACACCATGGGAAGGACCCACCCCCATGATTCAATTACCTCCTACTGGGTCCCTCCCATGATGCATGGGAATTGTAGCTACAAGTCAAGATGAGATTTGGGTAGGGACACAGCCAAACCATGTAAGACATCCAAGTCTCACGTAAACAGTCCCTTTTGATATTGGTCGTGTGTCTGTGTGTCATTGTCATTGGTTTGCATGTGCCCCTGTGGTTTATCAGTTTAGATGTGTGTTTGGCCAGCGGTCAGTATCCCAATGTTGTTCTTCTTGATGGGACCCTGTCTCCTCTCTCTGCTACTAAGGATGTTGCTGAGGCTCCACAGTGGTTGTATGAGGTGGTAACATAGACTGATATTTATTTCATTTTTAATGCCAAATGCTAAACTTAGTGCATTGTGTATATTTCATCCTCAAAGCAGCCCTACAGGTAGCCTAGTGCAGTCCCCACTGGACATTCCAGAGCTCTTTTGGGAAAGGCCCTGGGTTCCTCTGTGATCACCCCAGGAGAAATCCAGGGCAAGGGGCAGGGGCCACAGTTGAGATGCGATGTGTGCCTGAAGGATTCTAGCTCTTCGGTCACTGAGGACCCCCTTGTGAAATCAAACCAGCTCTCACTGTGTGATTCCATCAGGTCCAGTGCTAGGCACTTGGCCTAGTCCTTACATTGAACCCTCCCTCTGAACTCATTCTGGTAGTTTCTATCATCCCTAATTTCAGAAGAGGACACGGGGTTCAGAGCACATGGGTGCCTTCCCCAGATCACACAGCTCGCAGAGCTGATCTGTGATGCCCGTTTGATGACTCAGTGGTGTTTTTTCTGCTTCAATACACTGCTCCCCTGCATCTGCTGCGTTTAGGTGTGACGTGCTTATTTTGTGAGCAGCAATCGCCACAGGCATAGGCACTTTGTTGTGGCATCTTCCTCTGTAAGATAAAGCCCTTTTCATAAGTCACAGTATCTGTCAATAAGACACAAAACTGTGATAAAGTCAGTCCTAAGAAACCTAACTGGTATTTCAGTGGAAATCTATATGTATATTTAACATAGCATTCTTAATCTTGACCTGATGGCTTCACCCATCTATTATCTGCCTAAAATTAGATCTAATATTGTGTGTGTGTGTGTGTGTGTGTGTGTCTACATGCACCTATATTTCCCACAACCCCCTTAGCAGAAGATATAGTGCTTTCTCATCAGATTCTCAAAGTTTTTTTGTTTTAATACTTTTTAAAATTAGGAAAATCATTTAAGTATACTCTAACAGAAATAGCAAAAGATGTAAAAACCGAAGTTACTTTTGCATCAACTTAATACGTGCATATTTTGCTATTTCCTTTCTCATTACTTTTGATTGCAAAAACTGCAATTACTTTTGCATCAGCCTAATACAAGGAATTGCAACAGTCATTATCACAGCAAAAAACTGGAATACTGCAAATGACCATCGATAGAGGACTAGTTGGATAAACACCCTGTGGAATATTATGTATCTGTAAAATGTGATGAGAGTCTTGTCTATATACTTCTGTGGAATGATGTACAGAACAAATTGTTAAGTGGAAAAGTAGGATGGAAAAACTTCTGGGTAATATGCTGTCATTTATCAAAGAAAAGTAAATACTAATCAATAGCTATTTGCTTACATTAAAAAGAATAAACCCTAAATGCTGAAAAGCTTGTAATTATTTTAGATAACTTAAAATGCTATTTAATAATCCCTAAACATCAAAGGCAGAATGAAACATTTTGACCTAATGTATCAAGTTGTTGGCTTCACCAGAATCCTAACAGGAATTATTTCAAGACTTTAAACTCCAGTAATTAGTCTGTGCATTCCAAATGGGATAGATTCAGTGGAGAAAAAAATGCTACAAATAATTTTAAACTGTTTTCAGTAATCACATTATTGTTGATGGATTTATTTTGCTAGGATAAAGGAAGTACTAAATGTGCTTATGTTGTTAAGAATCAAGATTTTTAATATATAAAAGAGATACATATATAAAATCAAAGAAGCTAAGTAACATTTATAGTCCTAAATTTAAAATTAATACATTTCTAAGAACTAATGAAGTATTTTTTGTTTAAAATTAAAATTTTTAAAGATTAAATTAAAATGTAAAGAAAAAATTAAAATTAAAATGTTTAAAGAGGCTACAACCTCTTAATCTAGTTTTCTCAATAAAAGGAGCCAGAACTTCTTATGTAAATGGATGATTCCAGGCCTATAACAAGTATAAAAAGTGTAGTAGAAGTTCCTCTTCAAAGAGACTTCTCTCCCCATCTAATTAGGAATAAATAGTAACTTCCCTTAGAAGCACAATTTATTCAAAGACCCATGCTAACATTCTTAGATATCTGCTAGCCGTAATAAAGAAATCAATGTACTCTGTGTTTTTAGCTCCCACATTTTAGCCTAAATATTTGCCCTGGCATGCTTATACTGGTCCAAGCAAGCATTAGGCCATAGCCTGTTCCTCTTCCTTGTTTGAAGGTGCTTTTACCTTTCTCAGCATTCCACAGTTACTTCCTCCTTCCTTTGTTCTCCTCTGCCTTTGCCTCTTTTAAGAAGTTCTAAGTTGCTAACCAATTGGGACAAATAGAGAACGTGAGATCCCATTCGAGCCAATGGAAACCAGACACTGCAGTAGGGTGGATGTGTCAGGTTATAAATGACCCTGTATCCTTTGTTCGGTGTACTCTGGTGGCAAAACTGCTGGCAAGTGTACCCTTTCTGCAGAAAGTAAACTAGCCTTGCTGAGAGATCCTTTGTCTCAGTGAGTGTTGACTTTTTTTAACACCAAGCACCCGTTCCCCACACAAGGAATATACAAGATGAGTCTGGGATACCTTGCTGAGTCAGAAAGCTAGAAGCCTGCCAAAGATGTCTGGCTCCTGTCAAGAGGAAGCTCAAGCAACATTTCCAAAAGAAACATATGACATTAGGATATTTTTCTTTATCATTTAGAGAAAAGCATCATGGTTTTCCTGTACAATCTCAAACTCAGGGTACCGAGGTATTTGTTGAAGGTTGTTTTTTTCTTAAAAGAAGTAATCCAGACAATCATGAAAAAGAAAAAAAATTAGAATATCATTAGTCTTGCAACACTCAAAGATGTAAAGGATCTAGGAAATGATTGTTAATGGCTGCTAAAAACATTAGTTGGGAAGCTGGGGACCTTTGCAAGTCAGCCTATATTCCCTGAAGACTGAAGCATCCTAACACCAACGCTGGAGGCCTTACCAGGCATTCTGTGTGCATATACATAAAGCCATCAATGGTTCAGTCTTGCCAAAAATCCAACTCTGAACCTTACCAATGCCTTGGATCCAAATGCCTGATTGAAGCAGATCTAGGGAACCCAGGGACATGTTCAATGACATGCAGAGATGCAGCCGGCAAGATCCAGAGTATGGGAAACTCCCAACAAACAGATCCATTCCCTTATCACGTGAATTAAAGAAAACGTCAAGGGAGAGTTGAAATGTGGAGAGAGACATGAGAAGCATGTCGGCTGAATGCAATAAATGAACCGTGTTTTGATTGTGATTCTATGTTAACTGAAAGAAAAATTAAAAAACACCAAATTGGAATTTTGAACACTTACTAGACATTTGATGATATTAAGGAATGATTGTAGGTTTCTAGGTATGACAATGGTGTTGTGGTTATGTTTTTTAACATTCTTAATTTGGGGAACCCTTCGTGAAAGAGCTTTGAAGAAATGACTTCAAGTCTGGGAGTCAGTGTTGGGGGAGAGAAAGTGGACGGGCATTTAGGTGAAATGAGACTGGACATGAGTTAATAAATGTTGAGGCAGGACCGCAGATTTCAAGGACTCCTGTGCTATTTCCTCTACTTGTGTGTATCTGTAAATCTTTCATTTAAAAATAAGCTTTTTACAAGAACAGAAGAGTGAAAGCTATTACCATGCCAGTACCCCTTTCTGAGTCTGTGAACTTTGCCAAGTAACAGCAGCAAAGTAAATCAACAACGATGTTATGATGTACATTGAGTTTGCTCACAGATTCCTGGTAAAAAACAGTGGTTCTTTGATAAACATCCTGCTTTCGAGACAGCACTCCTGTCTTCCACTAACCTGACCTCATTCTGGGGCTTCAAATCCTGTTCATCTTCGAACCAAGACAGATTTTCCCAGAAATATTTTCAGTTATTTAACCTATTGAAATTCTGTTTTCATGTTTCATGTCTCCTGCATTAGAAAGCTATGACCAGACGGTTTTAAGAAAGGGAAAAAAATAAACAACAATGACAAGTAGTACACACCTGGCAGCTCCTCCCTCTCTGCACAACCAGTGCAACCTCCCTCCTGTCCCCACGCCTGTTGGAGGCTGTCTAAGAGTAGGAGCCTATTCCCGGCAATGGGCTTCTCCTTGAGCCTAGGACAGTGGACTTTGTTCTACACCTGGGGCGAGGGCAGGTAGAGATGGAAGAGATGATGTTGTTTTGCTTAAAGAAAAAAATTGACAAATTGAATGGATGAGGTTTACTCCTCAGAATTTCTTGTTTTTAAATTGAATTGTTCTTACTTAAATAGCATTAAATGGAGCCATTTGAACTGCCATAGTATGTGGCAACACTGGTCAAATATCAGTGTCTTGATATGTGTTACCCTAATACATCATTTAATAATAGAAGTATTACTTTCCTCCTATGGAAGTAGCCTTTTTTTTTTTTTCCTCTCTCTCTCTCTCAGTACAAATCTAGTGGCTCTAAACTTGGAGGTAAAAAGGGACTTGACTTCAGGTCTCCCCAGCCCACAGGCCAAGTTTTTCTCACTACACCGGGGCCAGGAGAAGGGACAAACATCTTCCTTCTTCCTCCCAACAGACAGTCTGGACCTTTAAGATCTTAGAAGTTCACACCAAACCACCCAGGGAACCACCACTGTTGGACACCATGTTAAATAGTGCATAGCGCTGATATGTGGTGCAGTGAATTTGCTACGTGGAATTTAGCATGAATTAAAACGAATGAGCACTTCTCTGGAGAAAGGGGAACAGATAGCATCTCCAGCCTTCGTGGGGAGAGATGAAATTCCACAAGGATTGCTTCATTGCCTTGGAAGCTGCGTGACCTCTAACGTGGCATCGGTTAATCGTCCCAAGGCTCTGAGCCCAGGTGCTTTGGGGTGAAAGCACAGAGCACTGGCCTGAAATGACAAGGTGTTGAGCCATGCAGAGCCCCCAGCTGTGCTTTCCTACCTGAGACTCTCTCTGTTCTGAACATGAGATGTGAAAAGCACCTTGTTTTCAGGACAGGTCAGAGTTTGCTGACTTGGGAGTTAAACAGTGAGACTGAGTGTTCAGATAACACTCCTTCATTAAATGTGTTAAGTTTCCAGGAGATCAGACATTTGAAAATGATTTTCCTATTCATCTTCCCTGTATGTGAATTTATAGGAGGATGCTAGGTTTGGAAAGGAAAAAAAAGCAACCTTGAATGTGAATTTATAGGAGGATGCTAGGTTTGGAAAGGAAAAAAAAGCAACCTTGAATGTACTGTATTTATATTAGGTGCTACTTGAGGGTAGGGAGGCTAACATCTGCGTAGTTTGCAAAATTTCCCACTACTCAGCCTTTTAGCAGTGGTGAGATGAACCCATCTACCTATCTGTCTGAGTCAAGTCAACTTATTTATGTTGAAAATTTTAGTGGTGCCGGGGAGGACAGTGTGTGAAATATGGTGATGAAGGCCCCAAGCCCACCCATGGCCACTGGTCAGACTGGTCTTCTTGGTCCCCATGCTCCAGGACCTGCGGAGGGGGAGTGTCTCATCGGAGTCGCCTCTGCACCAACCCCAAGTAAGTATGCCTTGACCTCCTTCCGCACAAACGACAATTTCCATGCCATCAACCCTCCAAGAAGTATGCCTGTGTCTCAGCTCGCTCTCTCTCTCTCTCTCTCTCTTTTTTTTTTTTTTATTTTGAGATGGAGTCTTGCTCTGTCATCCTGGCTAGAGTACAGTGGTGTGATCTTGGCTCACAGCAACCTCTGCCTCCTGGGTTCAAGCTATTCTCCTGCCTCAGCCTCCCGAGTAGCTGGGACTACAGGTGCCACCACCTGCCCTGCTAATTTTTGTATTTTTAGTAGAGACATGGTTTTACCATGTTGGTCAGTCTGGTCTCGAACTCCTGACCTCAGGCAATCCACCTGCCTTGACCTCCCAAAGTGCTGGGATCATGGGCATGAGCTATCACGCCTGGTCTCAGCTCCTAATAGTAAGTCTGTGCTATGCATATGATTGTAAGAAGCACTGAGTAGGAAAGGTATTTCACTCAAGCATTTCTTAATTACCTCTCTGTGCTATAACTTAAGATGCTTCTAACTACCTGACCACAGCAAAAAATAACAGCACCAACAGTAATGTTCAGGAATTGGATTTTAACCACATTTACTTGACATACCAAGGATCTGATTAAAACAAATAAGTCGTAAGAAAAGTATATAGAACACAAATGTTGGCCAGGATGGTCTCGATCTCTTGACTCCGTGATCCGCCCGCAACAGAGTGAGGGTGTCTCAAAAAAAAAGAAATCCACTTTCCCTAAGTACCCGCTCTAACACTCTTAGCTTCATCTCTCCAATAAACCTAATTTGAAATAATTTAGGTAGCTACTAAAATATGAAAATTCTGACTTCAAAATACACATTCCAGGCCATCGCATGGAGGGAAGTTTTGCGAGGGCTCCACTCGCACTCTGAAGCTCTGCAACAGTCAGAAATGTCCCCGGGACAGTGTTGACTTCCGCGCCGCTCAGTGTGCCGAGCACAACAGCAGACGATTCAGAGGGCGGCACTACAAGTGGAAGCCTTACACTCAAGTGGAAGGTAAATCTCAAACTGCTTTCGGGTAATAAGCCTTGTGCTTTACCACCTTTACTTTCTAAAGAAGTACATGATTGAGAGCGTGGTGCACAAATAAACCAGCTGTCGCTCTGGGAGGTGAGGGTCACATGTTCTCTTCTGGAGGTTAGTTTTATTTTGCCAGCCCCACTGTCATGACCTCTTATCTAAACTTGACCAGCTATGAGGTCAGAAATCAACACACCACATAGAAAGGGTGTGCATAGTACAATGAAACTCATCAAAGAAGTGATAAAAAAAAAAAAATACAAGATAGCTCCTGTGTGGAAATTGAATCTGTATGTTTTTGAATTAAGAATTACAGTAGTTGATGAATTAAGAATTACAGTAGTTGTTGCTATAAGCCAGTTACCCATTGAATACTTATAATTGTCAAAGAATGAAAGAGAAATTTCAGTATATTTTAGAAAATGGAATAATTTTGAAGCATACTATGTTCAGAAAGTATTGATCTATAACTATAAACCAAGAAGTTTATTTGTGGTGTGTATAAGACTTTACTCCCCACTGGGAAAGAAATAAGTGTGTTTCGGTGATTAAAATAACTTAAGGTCAGTAGCTCAAGTGGCATAATTAAGGAGAAATTCAAAGAAAACCTAATCATCTTATTGCTTGAAACTGGGAACATTGCCTGAAAAAAATGACAGAAGCCCTTTGGACATAGACAAGGGGATGTCCCATCTGACATTCACGTTCATCATCTCAGTGTATACAGTGTTTTCACAGTGTCAGGTTCATGCAGTTAGAAAATTCTGAAAGGAAATTGCAAGCAATTTCCCCGAAGCATGTTTGGTTGTCCCTTTACTCCTAAATCTGTACAAATGAAGCCAGTGTGATACAGGCCACTAGGGAGAGAGAAAGGTAGAATGAGCTTTGAAATCATGGTTCAAACACGTGTGTGCGTTCCTCCTGACTGACAATCTTTAGTGAATAAGCTCATTCATCATGGAAGCACACACTAAATTTGATTCTTAGAATTATTCAGTTGTGCCTCTTATCTTGAATGATAAGGAAAATACCTGTAGATGAATCTCAGGCCTATAAAAAATTCTAAGACAGACAAAATGTTCATCATTAATTGTCTCCTTTTTTACTAAGAAGAGAACAAAAGAGGCAAAATGGTTTCAAAAAAAAGTTCATATTAAATATAAACCAAAAAACCTTGAAATGGATTATTTAGGAAGGAAGTAAACTTCCTATTTCTCTAGGTACCAATATTTTAAAACAATATATTTGTAGAAAACATTGTTCTCAAGAGATTTCATCTAAGTTATTCTTTTTATTTGTTTAATTTTTCATGTATTTTACCAAATGCATTAAGAAATTCAGTGATGTTTTCAATTCTTTTATTACATTTTATCTGTAAGAATTTTGTGTGTTACTACAAAATGGTAGTTTTTTTTTTTTCTTGCATTTGTACAAGATAGTAGTTAATGATACTAGTGAAACAGTAAAGCATTAATGTTGTAGCCAACAAATATTTATTGAATGCCTACTATGTGCCAAACACTGTATAAAAATCAAAGGTCTTAAAGGACACTATAGAGTAAAACTTAATAGTGAAGCAATAAATAAATTTAAAGAAACAAAACAAAACATAATGAGCCAACCATTAAAAATGCCATTGTAATGTATTATTGTGTGGGAGTTATTTTATGGGGGAAGAAAGAAAGTCTATCTAAAATTCAGAGCAAAAATGATCAGAGCTTAAGTATTTTTCTTATTTGTGTTTGTGTGTGTATTTCTTTTTAAGATCAGGACTTATGCAAACTCTACTGTATCGCAGAAGGATTTGATTTCTTCTTTTCTTTGTCAAATAAAGTCAAAGATGGGACTCCATGCTCGGAGGATAGCCGTAATGTTTGTATAGATGGGATATGTGAGGTAATCATGATCCTTCATTCATTCAACAAATGATTCCAGACAGTCTGCTTTGTGTCAGGCATCCCATAGAGGCTAGAAAGACCGGACATATAAGACAAGCCTTTCCCTCTAAGTCACAGCCCAGTGGGGAGAAAGCCAGAAGAACACATTGATGACACGCTGCTTTGCAGCAGTGGAAGTGCGTGCAGAGCATAAGGAGAGGGAGGGGCCCATTCTGTCTTAGATGTGGGTCTGGGACATTTGTGAGGCTCCTAGGAGAAGGGAACATCCACATCCAAGCTAGATCTGAAAGGATGAGTTGGAAGAGGGATGTCAGGAAAATAGAGAGGGGACGTGGTGGTGCCAGATGCATGGGTTGCTAGCAGCCGATTCAGTCATCAGAATGCCCAGAGGGAAAGTGGGGAACTGGGGGATGCTGTGGGAAGGGTTGGGGTGAGAAGAGAGTCTTCAAGGCCATCTCCAGGGCTGGATGGGGATCCTGTGCCCATGTACATAGAGCAGGTATTGAGTCTGGGAACAGTGGAGCCACAGGATTCGGTTGCAGTTTGTGGGCAGTAGTGTGGAGAGTCAGTGAAGCAGGGCTGGGTGAGAGCCTGGGCCACTTTTCAGCTCGGACAGAGGCCTCAGCAACATACAGCAGCTACACATTCGCTGAGGAGGGCGGGCGGTCAGGGATGCAGGAGACAAGCTGGGGAAGTGTCGGCAGCTAAATGAACATAAGTGACTGATGTTACCCTTACCCTGACTGGCAGAGGGAAGGGGTGGAAAAAAATGTTGTTATAAACCAAGTAAAGGTGTTAGCAGATCAAACACATTGCATGTAGACAATGGGGTTTCAAATGAAGAAGTTATTCAACCTGCATATCTTATGGAGTCCAAAAACATGTTTTCTAGTTCTCACTTCCCCTAAATTATTGACCATGGTAAAGTTCAGTCATCTACTAAGATCCTTAGTGTAATCATTTTTAATACATGAGGGTTAGGCTGGATGATTCCATTAAGATCTCTTTCATTGTACCTCAGCTGTACAGTCCTCAATTTTGTCTAATTGTTAATTGATGTGTTCATTATTTTATTGTATTTAGGATTCTTAATGATATAGTGTCATAATCCCTTATTTGTAACTCGGAAATCCAAAAAGCTGTGAAAATGCGGGGTGGGGGGGGGTACCTGAATTTGTTTGGTGGCAAAGCCTTTCCTGAACTGATATGAGACTATTGATTGGTTTTATTTATCTCACTTACTATAAATATGTAGGGCTTTACTATAGAAACATTCATGAGTTAATTATGGGATGCCACCTAGGCCCTTGTGGGATTCTCATATGCATTACATACATAACATCTATTACCTTTCTGAATTTAAAAAAACGCTCTAAGTTCTGAAATGCATCTGGCCCTGTGGATTTCAAGCCAAGAATTGTAGTTATTTTGCTTCTGAGTGGATTTTTTTTTTTTGACATATAGAGCCTATTCTCTTTGTTAGAAAGTGTAATACAAACGAACATCAGAGAAATTTTGAAGAGCTCCTAAAATTCTAAGGAAGTGAATAAACATGCCCTTTATGTAATTACTACTGAGGAGAATTTCTGTGTGTCATCTGCTCCTTCTCTGTCATTGCATGAGACAATTAAAGCCCACAATGGCATATTTTGTTAGAACCTTGTGTAGACACATTGCTTGTCATTGTACTAAGCCCTTTAGGTCAGTCTGAAATTCACCCGTCACTCCAACATGACAACCTATAGATTTAATTTAGGGCCACTTGTGTAACAATACTAAAGAGGACAGGTGACGATTCACATTTTAAAAGCTTCCTACATTTTTGAAGGGTGACACTGTAGCCCCGCTGTGCACATATTAGGTATCCAATAAATATTTGTTAACTACCCTACGTTGGTGAAATTTTCAACTCTAGTGGGGAGAAGGTTTCTCGCGTGAGATTGGTGACAGTATTGCTGTGTTGTCCTTTCTTTCATGAATGACATGTGACCTCGTGGGCCCTCCAGAGAGTTGGATGTGACAATGTCCTTGGATCTGATGCTGTTGAAGATGTCTGTGGGGTGTGTAACGGGAATAACTCAGCCTGCACAATTCACAGGGGTCTCTACTCCAAGCACCACCACACCAACCGTGAGTACTTTAGAGCTACCTGCAAGCCTTGGGCAAAGAAGATTGTAACTGAGGCTTCCTAGCAGAGGAGCTTGAGGCGACAGCGAAAATAGCAGGCCTACCTTCCACTGCCTCACTTCCTGCCTCAGCTAGCGCTTGGCTTCTCGAGCCTCTTGCTTTGATTGGAAGTGGTTGCTAAGTTATTTGAAATAAAATTGTTCTTAAGAAGAGTGAACATCACAGGAGGTCTGCTCCAATTAATAAAAAGCAGTCGGGTATAGTTCTAAGGTGACTGGTCACCAGAACACATCTTCCCCCAGTTCCAAATGTGGATTCTCAGGTTTCGTTTACTGAGGACTGGGGTTGCTTCGAGATTCTGCCTTATGGAATGACAAGCTGTATCTTCCCCATTTCCTTTATCTAGAGTATTATCACATGGTCACCATTCCTTCTGGAGCCCGGAGTATCCGCATCTATGAAATGAATGTCTCTACCTCCTACATTTCTGTGTGCAATGCCCTCAGAAGGTACTACTTGAATGGGCACTGGACCGTGGACTGGCCCGGCCGGTACAAATTTTCAGGCACTACTTTCGACTACAGACGGTCCTATAATGAGCCCGAGAACTTAATTGCTGCTGGACCAACCAACGAAACACTGATTGTGGAGGTAAAGTCCAGCCTCTTGGTTTTGGGGCTTAGATTTTGGGGGTGTTCTGGTATTTGTGTAAATTCATGGCTGTTGGCATAATTTTAAGAAGAATGTAAACAGTTATAAAAAAGAGTGATCCATCCATAGCTGGAATGGGGCAGCAGACTTGTTTTTATCATCATTCACATTTTGGTGCATGATTACATTTGTATTTAAGTGCCCACCTGTGTTCCCATTTGGGGGTTTTAGCAGTAGATGTTTGCAGAAGTCTTCTTCTGTCCTATAAGCTCGACGGCTGTGAGAAGTGGCCACTGTTGAGGGAGGGAGGTGGGCTCTGACTTCACCTGTGTCTGGGGTGAGATCAGCATTTCTGCTGTGTTCTGTGGCAACAGGAGAAGAGAGCCCAGAGACGAAGCCCCTTGCTGTGTGATGACCTGCCTGTGTCACAGCATTGACCTTGGCTGGCCACAGCTCTGCAGTCACATCAACCCAGTGTCCAGTGGGTGGGTCACCTCCTGAACCGAGCAGTTCTGTTTACTTGTGAATGCAGAGGCTCGCAAAATATAGTCCGATTCTGACAACACCATCTATCACATGCAACTGTGCAGATGGCAGTGGTGGGCAGTGGATGTTCTAACTCCCCACCTTGTTATGTTTCTGTGCGCGGTTGAAAGAAGGTTCTTGGTTAAAAAGTTGCCCCATCGACCTACACCTTGCTATGGAGGTACAACCACCTGGATACCCCCACCTGTTCCCTGGTACTGGCCGCCCTATCTCATCCTCTTGTGTCTTCCTGGGAGATGCCTCCCCTGGCAGTCAGGGTGTGGTTTAAGTGGAGCAACTGCTGCATCTCCACAGGTCCTACTTCCATCTCCTGTCCTGCCCCTGAACTCTTTCATTCTACCCCTTTATAAACATATTTATCTTGAATTCTTTCCTTGATCATGTCTCCCACCATCTAAGGCTTTTAGCTTTAACAATCAGAGAGAAAGAGAGATGCCTCCGGGTTGAAAATAAGTGGGGCTTGTTAGGAAACTGTTCTTAATGGAAGAAGAGTTGCAGAGGATCAGAATGTCAGGGCTGGAGAGTATCTCAATGACCTTGCAGTGCAACCCCCTGTCCTGGGCTTATACCTGTCCCACAACATTAGCACCACTGAGACTGGAGCTGTGTCATCAGGCAGAGGGTGGAGCATGGGGCCAGCGTGCTCAGGGGAGGGTGAGGATCTTGGTCTATGTGGGCATCATATCAGGATGCCATGACTCTCAGGTGCATGCATGGGATTTATGTCAACAGGTTATGGTGAGTTTTCTAGAAAAGTCTTCTAACCAAGATTCAAGGATCTAATACATTTATAAGAGGAATGGTGGCTGGTCCATATGATTGGGTTTCAAGCTAGGAAATGTAGAGTCCAAACCCATTCCATGCCCTAAACTATGACTCAGTGATCTCCTTTACTAATAAAACACCTTTTCCCGCAGACTTAACAGGTACCTGCCAGTAGGCAAAAGTCTCCTTCATCTCTCCCAGTAGAAAGTGCTCTAACTTAACTTTGGTCAGGCATGGATCATACCTATTGCTGTTGAAATGTCCTGGGTTATTTGAACTCACCAGGAAGCGTGACGACGCTTTGTAGGTCTCTCTTTCTGATTTGCTCAGATGCGGGGATTTGCAGAGGATCCCAAAGAAACACCGAGGGAGATAGTCAAATGCTCTTGTTAGGCTGTATCAGATTATCACAGGTACCCCCAATATATGTGTATCTATTTTGTATCAATAAAAAAATGATAACCTAAAAATGCTTTTTCTAAGCTGCAAAAGTGTTTGAAGTTTTACATGTGGGCATACACTAACTGTAAGGAGAAGGGTACAAAGTCTAGACATTTTTTTAGATGAGCTTGAATCTAGATGGGAGGGTTATTCCTGCTCGAAAATTTTATGTAAAGTTTGGATGATAGTCTGAATTTATTTTATCATCATAATAAACATTTTGTTGATTGATTGTTATTTTAAGTAGTCTAAAGCACGTTAGCATGTATTTGCTGGTTTTGCATTAATTTGTTTTATTTTCCCCCTTTCTTATTTTGTAGCTGCTGTTTCAGGGAAGGAACCCGGGTGTTGCCTGGGAATACTCCATGCCTCGCTTGGGGGCCGAGAAGCAACCCCCTGCCCAGCCCAGCTACACTTGGGCCATCGTGCGCTCTGAGTGCTCCGTGTCCTGCGGAGGGGGTAGGTCCCTTCTAATGCTGCTTCTGGAGGCAGCACGTGAGCCTTCAGCCATGGGATACATTGCGCCGGCCTTTCTTGAGTCCTAATGAGTAGCCCGGGCTTCTCCCTGCCAGTAGCAGTGACATTCCCAAGGTGGGGAGTGGTGGTCCTGAGTGTCGCTTGTCAGCCTGAGCTGCCTTTTCCAGTTTATCTGCTTCAGTATATGACTCTGAGGAAGTCAACAGATGCATTGGTTTCTACTTTCCATCTCATTTGTGATTTTGTTAATTGAGATGAGCCAAATGAAAGTCACTGTAATTATGAGATACATCATGTTGATGGTGAGAAACAGACACTTGCATGGAAAACACATTGTCCTAAAGTGGGTTTTTTGATCTAAGTAATCTTGTTCAAAACGTTTCCTGGAAAGAGCTTTGCCTGCAAGTTGTATAGTCAGATTTGCCCAGAAAATAAAAGAATATTTTGAAAGTTGCAATGAAAACATCAAGAAAAAACATGTCAAAAAGAACTGCACGTGTCAATCCAGTGCCTTGTCGTCTTCATACCATAAACAATGGAAGCTCACATTTAACTCAGCAAAGCTGGTTCCACTTAAAGAAAGTTTTTAGCTAGAGCCAATATGTACTGACTGTCTGATATAAATAGTAATGAGTAAATATTTTCAAGCTTAAAACAACATAGTAAATTCTATCTGATATTTATAAAATACACAAGTTTCCATCTGGCCAAATGGATTTCAGCTTTGTGCAATCCGGGTTTTAATAACTAATAAGTTAATCTGACAATATTATGTTTAAGTAAAAGAAAATGATTCATAAATGAGAACTGGCATAAAGTAATAAGGTAATGAATGAACAAAAATAAATAAAAATAAATGTGTATGTTCTCAATAGTTGCTGTAAATAAATAAGATGAAGAAACTAAAGGAAAACTGAGAGATTAACAAAAAACTTAAATAGTCCTAAAAGTTAACGCTATGTGCTTGACATATGTTCATTCCCCCCAGTATGAACTAAGGATGAAATAGTTAAATTATGGATGCTAGCAAAGCTAATGACTCTGAATGAAATACTGTCTTAGGAAAAACATGACTACCTTCTACACAGAAGGATAGCAAGCGCGTTGCTCTAATAGTGACCAGAGAGAAATGTGAAGGAAATCTCACACTAGTGATATGGCCCAAGTCAACCATCAGTTTACTTTATTTAGGAAATCCTGGAACAGAAGGACATTGTATGCTCTTCTCTCTGTGTGACATGGAACGTTTCTAACCATATGTATTTTTCCTTCCTTTTCCTTCTGATCTTACAATCATACCCATGTTTTTGTGGATTATGTTGAATGCACTTGATTTTACCTCTTCCTATTTAAGATCTTCTAATAAACAATAATTGGTTAGGATAATAATAGAATCAGAAAACTTCATATTTGTTTAAGGAAAGTATGAATTTTTGAACTCTTTCTTGTACATTTTCATTTGGTAAAAAATGTATAATGAATTCTATGGAAACATCTGTAGAGAATGGCCAGTCGATGATTCTGTTTCAATCTACCAGGTTCACTGGTGTCTTTCCTTTGAGCATCAAGCATTCAGAGGAACTCTTAGTTTTCTCAGCTACTACCGGGCTACTCATCTCAGTATCCTGAAACACTGAATGAATGATTAGTGTATTTGCAACTCATCTAACTATCCCTAAGGAATAGAGAGTTTCTGGGGGAAATCAACCCAAAATCCATTCCCAAATCACTTTTCTAAAGAGCTGCATTATAGAGCCAGTGAGTTTTGTTTGTTTTCAATTTCAGTGGAAAACAGGGATTCTCAGTTCAACAGCTGGATGGAGTTCAGGATGTCTGTACTTTCCCACCTCCTGTAGGATGATGCTCTACAGTCTTCCTGGTAAAAACCTGACCTCTTCATAGGACAGAGACTCAGAACTTAATCAAGGCACCCTGTCACTGGCCATGTTTGTATGATTAGGAAGAGGAACACTTGCAAATTGTATCCTGCGGGGTTTGAACTATAGTCAATCCTCCTCTGTTTTTGTAGATGCATAAAACCACAGCCTTTCTCTCCTGTTCTCTCTCTTTTCTTCCCTAATATCCCCAGAATTACTTTCTACACAACCAAGATGAAAGTAAGAAACACATTATTGCCATGTATTGAGCACCTACTATGTGCTTTCACATATATTATCTTGTCAAAACCTTTGACAGGGTAAGGGTAGAATGACCACAGGTTTGGGGCAGCCATATCAGATTCAAGTCTTGTCTTCATCAGGGCACGCTCCTCAGAAATTTTGAACCAGCCTTTTGTTTCACGTGTCCGTGTGAAGAGACCCCCAAACAGGCTTTGTTGAGCAACAAGGCTGTTTCTTTCACCTGGGTGCAGGTGAGCTGAGTCCGAAAAGAGAGTCAGCAAGGGTGGTGGGATTATCATGAGTTCTTATAGGTTTTGGGATAGACGGTGGAGTTAAGAGCAATGTTTTGGGGGCAGGGGGTGGATCTCACAAAGTACTTTCTTAAGGGTGGGGAGAATTCCAAAGAAACTTCTTAATGGTGGGGGAGGTTATAAAGAACATTGATCATTTAGGGTGGGGTAGAAACAAATCACAATGGTGGAATGTCATCAGTTAAACTATTTTCACTTCTGGGGATCTTCAGTTGCTTCAGGCCATCTGGATATATACGTCCAGGTCACTGGGGATATGATGGCTTAGCTTGCTTGGGCGCAGAGGCCTGACACGTTTCATGTCTGTGAAGTGTAAAGACTGTATGAATATCAATGCCTGGAAGCAATCCTTATTATCATTAGCAGGTAACTTGGTTCAAACAGGTTTACTGACTCCCATTCTTATGTCACCCCACCACAGCCAAACTGCTACTTAGCTTGTTACTGATGTTCACATTCTTTAACAAAGATGATTCTGCCAGGGAAGCATAATGTGTTCTCTGACTTCCTGTCTTCCTTTCCTAATACAGCTTCTACCTGGCAATGGGCGTTGCAGTCCATTGAACATTAGATTGAAATATCAGCAATGAGGAGGTGACCTCACACGTAGGCGGTGTTCACGTTTCATGGCCATTCAGGGTGAAAACTGATCTTCTTCCGTTCTCGTATTCAATTTTCCCTTGATCTATGTTTGGGGGACTATTCCCCCAATAGTCTCAACTAAGATAGTATATTCACTGAATGTTAATTACAGTGACTGCTTATGAGATAAGGGCTTTTATATCCCAAGACTTCATTACTTAATTTTAAGTGGTTATTTTGATTAAGCAGTTTATCAGAATTTACTGTCTCTGCCTTGCTGAACTTCAGGATTTCAGGAGTTGATGATATCTGATGACATAGATCCTTTAGAACTAAATGCTCAATTACTTTGAGTTTATTAAATGCTTCATTAGTTGTATCCTGTTGGAGCCTTCTAAATTTCAAAAGTTAAATCAGATTATTTAAATTCTGTGGTATCTGACAATAGCATATTTTAACTGCTTGGATGATTGATATTGGAGGGTGAAAATCCAGTATGAGTCTCATTCTCAGTTTTTCAATTTTGTGAGAGAATAATTAACTTTGCCAGTGAGCGTGATATAATAACCTTTGATTATTATTCTCATTTCTTAGAAGATTAGGTCAGTGCATCACCTGAAAATTCTTGACCTGATTCCCAAAGGAAAAGGGAATGTATAGATGCCATTTTCATCTTATCTGCATATTTTAGAAATTTTAGGGCTTCTACTTGCATAGACTTTCCGATGTTCTGACTTTGAAACTTTTAAATCATCTTTTTCTTAGCTCTCTCTTTGAGAATTTAAGGGTCTACAAGGGGCAGTTATGGAATTCATGAAAGGGAAGAAGATTGCTGGAAAATTTCCCCCACCTCTTGCTTCAGTCCAGAAACACTACTTCGCATCAAAAGAGGACGGATCATTCTTTTTGATTTAAAGAGATCTCATTTCCTTATCTCTTACAATGGGTTCATCTCTCTGTAGGAAATAAGGTTTTCACACAGCCAAGTAATGCCTTTTATCTCACTTTTGACAGCTTCTTCTGTTTCTTTTTTCTCTCCTCTCACTTTTATGACATAATTGCATTTTTTAATTTCAATGTTCCTGGTTCGTTGTGCCCTAACTGGACACTCAGTGGGTATCTGGAGCATCGGTAATGGGGTATAAAACTCAAATAAGGAAACGGCATGCCAACGCCAACAACATTGCTCAGAACCAGTTTATCCTATTGTGTCTGTCTCTGAGAGGGAGACTTTTTGATGTGGTAATGACTTCACTAGACTTTTGTTTACCTTGTCAAAACATCAGCTTTTTCTCAAAATTATATATGCTGTCCTCTTTTAAAGTCAGTATCTACAATTCACTAGGCTCAATGTATTCCAAATCACTAATCTCCAACCTCTGATTTATTTCCAAATAAAAATACTTATTAAAATTTTACCTATGTCTTAAATTGTCCAACTTGTATGCTGTAATGTCTGGAGATGATGCATTTTTATTCAAATGGAAATATTCATCCAATTCACAACAAAAATTTCTCAGACAAATCTTAAAACTGGCTTGAAAACCATCCTCTCTTACATTTTTTTCAATAATATTCTCTTCACCATCCACAGATATTTCTAGGACTTAAGCTTTAATTCATTTAGGGATTAAATTTGAAAAAAAAAATGATTGAAATCACTTGCAAACTTGCCTGACTTTGTTGATATCAAACTATCCATTTATCCATTCATTCATTGATCATCAGTCAGCAAATGCTTACGTGTTTGGATCTGAACCCTAAACATCTTAAAGCCACCTGGGGAAATACAAGACCTTTGCTTGATTTCTTCTCTATCTGAATTGAACAATGAAATGCCAAAGTAGGTATTGCTTTACATGAAAACTATTTAGTGCCTCTTTAGTGTCATAGCTAGTTGAGGTATCTTACATTTGTGCATCTTAATTGGGGAATCGAGTACTTCGATCCAGCAATTTTTTCTTAAATG